AACACCATCAAACAACATCTGCCTATCCCAGGTCCTTGGGTAGGACTCGATAGGTGGATAAAAGTGCCAAATCCAGTCTAAGCATCCGGCTGACTGGGCGACCAGCCGTAATAATTCACTCTGCAAGTCACGAAAAGCAGCCCTTCTGGCCCTCTCCCCAGGGGCGTTGGGTTAGCTGAGCCCCCTGCCCCATTACCTCTCCTATGCAGAATGGCAAAATCCCTTCTCCAGGCTCAGTGATGGGCGAAAGGAGAGGGAGTGACTGTACAAAAGCCACTCAGGTCTGATGAGCCCCAATATTAATCAAAACATCCTTGGCCTTTCTGGACCAGCTGCAAGGGTGGCCATGCTTCCCTTTATAAGAAGCACCACCTTAACTCCTGCCTGCTTTGGGGGTTGCCTTTAATTCTCCAGGTATCTTCCCCCGTGCCTCCCCACCTACTCAACCTCTGATGCAAAGCCCCCAACTCTTCCCTATGATTCCACCCGTCTTAAAGTTGCCAAGGTTGAGGAACCCTGCTGTATGGCCAAACTCTTCCCCTTTCCCTTCCTGTTCTTCCCACCCCGCCCCAAATCACCCTTCTCCTTTAATTCGGGCTCCCTTCTTCAATAAACGAGCTCTTCAATAAATCCTCCTTTCTTCCGGAAACCGAGATTACCTTCGCAAGTCTCCAGCTCGTTACCCAAAAGTGGCCGGCTTCTATAGAGGAAATGGAAAACATACACGCACACAAACGCCAGTGAGGGCGGAAGTGCCTTCCAGCAGCTCTTCAAACAGCAGCAGCGATCGTTAGAGCATGCCCATACTTGGTGCTCGGCGTTTAAGAGTCCGACTGGGAAACTAGAGCTGGAAGCAACCAAGCTCAGAGTACCCCAAGGACTCCACAATCCTAAACCTTCTCCAGTCCGATGTCCTTCAGATGTATTGGAGTGCAGTCCCCCCCATTCCCAGCAGGCACAGACATTGTGAGGTGAGAGGAATGGGAATTAGGGAATTAGAAACTTCCTCTGTCCCTGAAACACTTTATTCGTTTTCTGTAGGCTACTATATCCGGGATGCAAAATATGAGATGAACAGCAGACAGGAGCAAAGTGATAGAAAAAAATTATTCACACTCTGCTGCCATCTATTGGTTACCCAGGTTGTTTGCAATCCAAATATGGTAGTCCTGGAGAGAGGAGTATGGGATTATCTCAGTTTGTCTACTTATAAATATCTGCCAAAATGAGATGTGAAAATTAGATTAGGAATAGTAGAAAATGGGAATTCATACTGAAGACGCTGTCAAGACATCATTGTTTGAAATAGATTCTTCTTACATGTGGGTGGTTCAGACAGTTGTTGTTCAGTTGTTAAGTCATGTCCGACTCTTCTTGACCCCATGAACCATATCGCGCCAGACAGACAAACATACAAACCCATTGTACTATTTCCTTTTGGGACAAGCAGTGTTGTGTAGAACATGGAAAAGGAATAAGAAACATTAAGCCAAAGAAATTAAAGGCCTGAAAGAACAGGAGGAGGAGGAGGAGGAACAGAATGGAAAATGTAACTAAAACTAGTTTCCGACAACACAGTTCACTATATCTCTCCCTACTTTTCTATCCTTTCAACTCATCCTCTCTTCCACCATGTCCAAACATCACTTCATGCACTTCTCATTTCCCCCTTTTTTCAGGATTTCACCAACGTCACCCAACCACGATTTTCTTGGCCTTCCTCTTGTCTCATTCACATTTCCTTCATGTATCTGTTCAATCCTGATTCTCGATATGACTAAACCGCCCTAACACGCTTATTTCATGCTTGTCAATCAATTTCTATGCAAAGTACATTCATTCAGCACCCATTCATTCTAGAATGTATCTCTTCCTTCTATCATGCATAGTTCTTAACTAATCCACACCCACTGCATTCGAGATATCCAACTCTAACTTCCATACAACAAAGTGAACAGGATATACTTACACCCCCCCGCTTTTTTGCTTCTTTGAAATACATGTTCCTTCCTTCCTTGCAACCAAAACATGTCATCCACTTTCTACCAGCATTTGGATGTCTTGAAATTACTCCATCTGTTTTTCTATCTTTAGTTCTATGTGCCCTAGTTTTTTGCCATGTATATGTAATTTGGAGTGATTCACCCCATTTTCCCTGTCAAACACCACTACCTTGGTATTTGAAATGTTAATTTTCAGATCCACACTCCTTCTTACTTTATACAGTCTGAAACTTATAAATCTTAAAGGTCCTTATCAAACAACACAGCATAAAAATGTGGTGGGGTGCCTAGGATGCGTTTTATCAAAAGGTATATACTACCTACTCTTTCAATTCTTAGTGGTTTATAACCTATCAGTACCAGGTTGGAGAAGACAAATTTCCAAGTAGCTTGAAGTAACATGCAATGGGTCAACCCACTTCTTCCCATTCTACATTACAGTATCTCTACTCCCCAATCCCATGCAGTAATTCAGATTGTGAATTGTTTAAGGCTTTCCAATGAGCTTAGGGTCTAAAATCTTGTACTGTAGTGTGGTGGCCTTCCATCATGACATCTCCAGGTATAAATAAATGCAAAACACCAGGACATAAAAATTTGTATTACTGATAGTATATAGTAGCATTTAAAAATATGTAACAACAATTTACATTTTATTTATTTTTATTTATTTACCAAATTTTTCAACCACCCATCTCCCCCCAATGGGGGAACTCTGGGTGATTCACAACAAACATTAAAAACATAAATA